GCGGTGGCTGGCTCTGATACAGCGGCAGCAGCGTGGAGTGGTAGGGGGCTTCTCGGGAGTGGGGCTGGATCGTATTGGCTGCTGGTCCTACCCCTGGGGACTAAAGAATAGTCAACTAACCCGATAAGAATTCATGAGGTTAATCGACTGTTCAATTAACCGATATTGAACATCTCTAACCCTGAGGCCACCAGGAAGGGGGCAGGTGAGAGGGAACATGACAAAAAGCATCATTCCCAAAGCAAGTTCCAGCCAACCTCTGGACTCAAACCTGCAGCTCATTCGCCACTCTCTGACCGGAGCGCAAATGAGACTGCAGCCTGTCTACCCTCCAAAGTCAGACCCCAGCTCTGCACGGCTGCCCCCTGTTATTTTTTTATATATATTTCAGGCATGTGTGGGGGGGATCCAAAGATGCTGTTTGTTCTCCTGCCTTCAGTGCCAGCAGGGAGGGGTAACTCTCTGACCGGAGCGCAAATGAGACTGCAGCCTGTCTACCCTCCAAAGTCAGACCCCAGCTCTGCACGGCTGCCCCCTGTTATTTTTTTATATATATTTCAGGCATGTGTGGGGGGGATCCAAAGATGCTGTTTGTTCTCCTGCCTTCAGTGCCAGCAGGGAGGGGTAGAAGCACAACAACCCCCTTCCCCTCCCCTTTTTTTTGTTTGGCTGGAAAACACCAGGGTCAACAAAGTTTCAACCATTTTTCCTGGAAAGGGTGTTTGGCCTGGTGCCTTGTGCATGGAGGGAATATTCCAGAATGAAGTGTCTGGTGCTTCTCCTCACCCTGAGGGAATGGCTGGTCTCAGCCTGGAGCTACACCAGGTAGTTATTTCGAAATAACAAGCGGCGCGTCCGCACTACCCAGCCCCCTATTTCGAAATGAGGGGCTGGTTATTTCGAACTAATAACTCCTGCGTCCCACGAGGAATAACGCTTATTTCGGAATAGTTATTTCAAACTAGCAGTCATGTGGACACCCCAGGGCTGTTATTTCAAAATAACGACTCCCCAGAGTCATTCAAAGTAATTACAACCCGGTGCTTCGTGGGGCTCTAAGTCGAGGTAGTGTGTCCACATTAAGGGCACGTCTACACAGAAGGTCAAAAGTTGAATGAAGCGAAGCAACTTCAGCTACATCAAATGCGTAGCTGAAGTCGAAATAGCTTAACTCGGCTTTTGGCACTGTCTGTACGACAGGGAGTGGAAGGGAGAACACTACCTCTGAGGTGCCTTATTCCTCGTGAAATGAGGGTTACAGGAGTTGGAAAATGAAGTCCTCCAGCTCGATATTATAGTGTAGAACTACACTACGTTATTTCGAAATGACGTCAGTTATTCTGAAAGAACCTTGCAATGCAGATGTACCCTCAGGCTACGTCTACACTGCACAGTTATTTTGGAATGAGCTATTCTGGAGTAGTTATTCCGAAGAAGCTTATTTTGAAACAGAGCATCTACACTGCAGGGAAGCCTCAGAATTAATCCGAGGCAGGCTCCCCTAATGTAGACGTGCTATCTTGAGTTAGAGCCCCGGGGGATGGGCTATTTCGAAATAGCAGAAGTGATGTCTGCTCAGCCCCTAGTCCAAAATAGCTGTTTCGGAGGAGGCATTACTCTTCATAGAATGAGGTTCACATAAGCCAGAATTATCTGTCTCTTATTTTGAAATGATTCCAAAATAACACTATTGCTGTGTAGACACGTGTGTCTCTGCGTTTCTGTCTGTGTGTGTGCTTTATCCACATTTTTTCTGTTGCACCCTGCCGGTACAGAGGTGGTCAGGGATGGGGCTGGTGGGCAGATGGGGCTGAGGGCCCACGGAGCATGCTCAGTCTGAAGCTGGGGTCCTGGGGGGTGGGTAAGAGGACTGCTGGGGGACACGTGGGCTCAAGGCAGCACATGCATCTTCCAGTGCCTTGGGTAGGAGGAGTATTTGGGCAGCCCAAGGACTAGCAGACGGGACTGGTGCCCACAGCCCTCCAGCTCGATATTATAGTGTGGAAGTACACTACGTTATTTCGAAATGACATCAGTTATTCTGAAAGAAGGTTGCAATGCAGATGTACCCTCAGGCTACGTCTACACTACACAGTTATTTTGGAACGAGCTATTCTGGAGTAGTTATTCCGAAAGGGTATGTCTACACTACCCCCCTCGTTCGAACTAGGGGGGGGTAATGTAGTCCTACGGAGTTGCAAATGAAGCCCGGGATTTGGAATAACAGCCCTTATAACTTTGCTGTGTAGACACAGCCAGAGGGAGCCTGCCCCAGACTACTTTTGAGTCTCCCCTGTAGTGTGGACACCTCTCTTTCGAAACAGTTATCTTGGGGGCTCTTATTTCAAAATTATTTCCTAGGCTATATTTGGAAATGCCCAAAGCAGGAAGACAAGTCCCATCCCGCCTTTTCCTGCCTCGCCATTCAGAAACCAAAAGAAAAAGGCGGGCTGTAATTCTGGGAAATTACAATTCTGGGAGGGCTGGAAGTCAGAGAGTGACCTAGGAGGAATCAGAGGAGTGTTAAAGGCAGTGTCAGTGCCTGGGGAGGGAATACCTGGGGGAGGATTGTGAGCAGGGGGCTGCTGTGTGGGAGGGCGCAGGGCTGCACACGGGGCGAGGGTGCAGAGTGGGGAGTTCAGTCCCCTTCTGCGGAGGCATCGGCGCGTAAAGGCTCCATTGTGCACGGAGGCAGCACAGGTGGGGAAACTGAGGAAGGGATGCCACGCCACTTTGGTCCCCCCCTTTTTGAGTACCAGCTCTTCCCGCAAACAGTCCTCCTCACCCCAAAGCTTCCCCCGCAGCCTGACTTCCCCCTCCCGCCAGCCAGTGTGGGGGGGTGAGCAATGACTGCGTGTGAAGGCATCAGAGGACTACGAGAGGCTAGGGCAGGCCTGGTGGGGAGACGGGCTGTGCTTGGGGGGAAAAGCCAGGCTATCATGCCATGGGAGAAGTTGTATCCAGGGATCCTCATCAGAGTGCCCATGGGCTCCTGCCTCAGTTTCCCCTGCCATGTGTCTGAGGCAGCAGCACTTTGGGGAGCAGTTTCAACCTCGCCGGGGGTCTCTGAACCCTTTTAAGAGCTGGGAAGGTGGGATCCAGTCATCTGCCCGTGGGAACTTCCCATGCCCCATATCCCAGGTGGACAACAGGGATGTCTCTGTGACTCTCCAAGTGGTGGTCCACAGAAACAGCCCTTTACACATTTTGGCTGTTCCCTCTTGTGCTGCAGATCCGCTGATTGCTGGAGAAGATCCACAGAGACTCCTGGCCCCGGCTGAACAGAACTGACTCCCTACACCGGTTAGCGCGTGAAATCGAGGAGCCCCGTGCGTGTCCCGCTGAGACGAGAGGAAAGAATGGATCTTGCTAGGGAAACGCTATGCAACGGCATTTATCCCAGTATCCCTGGACACCCCGAGGGAGCCAAGCCAGGTAACACAAGCCTGGTTCTCAACATGTCCATGAGGGTCTCTGGCTTTGTGGATTGTCAATGGGACCTATTCTGACACCCCCTCTCCTCCATCCACCCACCCTGCTACTGTGCAGAGCCCAGGCTAGTAAATCTCACCCACTGCTCCCTGCAGCTTGGTGGAGCCTGAGTTTGCAAAGAAGGTGCCAGTTTCTGTTTTGGTGCAGACAGGGTGTTGCAAAGACCACAGTGCAGGTGTCGGAGGAGTTTGGGTGACGTGTCTGTTGCTGGCACTGGAACACCTGCAAGTGCGAGGGTAGGCGTAAGGTGTTTGTGGTGCCTTAAATACAACTGTGAAAAATACAGGGAAACCAAACCTGTTCTCAGCCCCAGCTAGCCTGGGGACTGGGGTGAATCCCCCCAGGGTTAGCAGTTGGCATGCCAATAACACAGTATCATGTTGGCTTCCCTTCCCCCCCAACAGTGTCACACTGCTGACTCATATTTAGCTTGTGGTCCACTATCACCCCTAGATCCCTTTCTGCAGAACTCCTTCCTAGACAACGAGTGGGGGGTGGAGGGTGCTAAGACTTCACGTACTCCCTGACCCGCAGGCCAATTAGGATCCGTGGACAACAAAGCCTCCTGGTCCTGCCCCTTCTGCCCAAGGCTCCACCCTTTCTGGGGCAGCCCACAACCACTTCAGAAATTCCCAAAGTGCCCCCACCCTTGAAAAACAATTGCCCCTCCCTGCCTTAGAGACTAACAAACTTATTGGGGCATCCATTTTTGTGGTAAAAGCCACTTCATCAGCTGCGTTGGAGTGGAAATTACAGAGCCAGGGATATAGAATAGTGTGGCAGGGGGACTCCAGGCCTACCTCAGGCTGTCTCAGTCCTGCATTGTTTGCCCTTGTCAGGATTCCAGCTCCAGTGGGAAAAGTTTTGGGCCAATGCCCCAGGGTCATCCTGGGCTGCAAAACCAGTCCTGTCCAGTTCTCCAGCTGGGCTCTCAGGCTGCCAGCCCAAGGAGGGCCCAATGACCCAGGTCTGCGGTGCCTCGCCCTCTCACCACTTGGCTGACCCTGGCAATGCTGCATTGCTTTCCTTGCTCTGCAATTCATAGTGTCAGCTCAGCTATTCGTGATATAGCTCATCTCCGCTCTGCTATTCCTGATATCTCATCTCTGCTCTGCACAACCCCTTCCTGCCGGGGGTTCATCCTTTTAACAGATTCAATACCTCGTGGAATGAGGTGTAACAGTTAACTCGAACTAAGGACTTAGTTCGAGTTAACGTTTGACTGCCTCCTGTAGCTGCGGGCAGTCAGTTCAGAGTAGGGGGATTTAAAAATGGCGACCGGATGGGGAGATGCAAAGAAAGCCCGGGATATTTAAATCCCAGGCTTCCTTTGCCACTTTGAATGCCTACATTAGCCTCCCTAGTTCGAACTAGGGGGCTGGTGTAGACATACCCTTAGCTACCTGAGTTTAACCCGGGGTGCTTGCAGTCTAGACGTAGCCCTAAAGTCCATTGCTTTCAATGGATGTTAGAAGGCTAAATACCTTTATGGATCTGGGCCCTACTCCTACAAAATGATCCACACAGATAGATCTGTGTGTCTGCATTCATGTCAATGGTACTCTACACAGACACAATGAAAGATTAAGGAGTAAAGGATATTTATTTGGGATATATCTCTTCAGACACGCACATACATGCCTGCATACACAGTAGCCCAACAGTTAGTTTGTTCTTTTAAAGAAATGATGTGACACACATAAGGCTGACTCAAAGGCAGGGACTCATAAAAACGTGTAGTGATATATGCCTGTCAACTTGTACAACTATAATCATTAGGAAATACAACTTAAACCCGTTTTATTTCCTAACATGCAGAGCACATGTAGGCAGGGAATAGCAAGCATAGCAGAGGCAGGCTCTGGCTGGGAGTCACTTACCTAGGCATCTCCTGGCCAGCAGCCCTGCAGCATCCCTAAGGCAGGCTGGGCTCCCTGCCTGCTGCAGCCCCACATCTGCTGCCTCCTTCCCTCAGGCTAATCTCTGAGCTCCTATTGGCTGATTGTATCCAACCAATAGAAGCTGAGAGATTGGCTGGGGTCAGTTCCTATTACCCTTACTGATTCCCAGCTCTACCTTCCTGATTTTCTATACTCTGTCTCCCACCCTCCTCCTTTTTTCCCCCTCACCCCCCTCCCTCACCACTTCTCTCCTATTTATTTTGGATCTACACATCCTAAACTCATGACTCCAGTCATCTGAAGAAGTGGGCTGTGCCCACGAAAGCTCATGATCCCATGGTCATGTGTTGTTGGTCTATAAAGCGCTACCAGACCATGTGTTGTAAAGAAAGGTGATGGTTAACACCCGCTAGCTTCAACAACCTCACAACAGCCACCAACTACATGATAACATCTCTTTGGGGTATCTGTTGAGCCTCCACCAAGGCTGCCTTTTGGTGATGGTTGTCACAGAACAAGCCAGACCTGTGTTGCCAAGGTGTTAGAAGAAACCAGATTGTAGGTGGAGGCTGGGTACAGAACAGCGCATGGGGACTGGGGTGCAGGAGATGGCATAAGGTCTGAGAGGGTGTTTGTTTGGGTGGAGGAGGGGGGTGTGATCAGGGGCAGGAGAATGGGGTGCAGGATCTGGGAGGGTGTTTGGGTGCAGGAGAGGATTCCGGCCTGGGGAAGGGGGTGTAGAAGGGAGTACAGGGTCTGGGAGGGAGTTGTGACCTGGGGCACGGGGGTGCAGAGGATTTGGATGGTGACCTGGGGGAGGGAGTTGGAGAGCAGGGGTAGCAGAGGCAGGCTCTGGCTGGGAGTCACTTACCTAGGCATCTCCTGGCCAGCAGCCCTGCAGCATCCCTAAGGCAGGCTGGGCTCCCTGCCTGCTGCAGCCCCACATCTGCTGCCTCCTTCCCTCAGGCTAATCTCTGAGCTCCTATTGGCTGATTGTATCCAAGTTAGTTCGAATTAGCGCTGTAGTGTAGACATACCCTTACTGATTCCCAGCTCTACCTTCCTGATTTTCTATACTCTCTGTCTCCCCCCCACCCCTTAACTCCTATTTATTTTGGGTCTGCACATCCTAAACTCAAAACTTCGGTCATCTGAAGAAGTGGGCTGTGCCCACGAAAGCTCATGATCCCATCCACGTGTTTTGTTAGTCTAGAAAGTGCTACCCGACCATTTGTTGGAGGGAGGTGTTGTAAAGAAAGGTGATGGTTAACACCCGCTAGCTTCAACAACCTCACAACAGCCACCAACTACATGATAACATCTCTTTGGGGTATCTGTTGAGCCTCCACCAAGGCTGCCTTTTGGTGATGGTTGTCACAGAACAAGCCAGACCTGTGTTGCCAAGGTGTTAGAAGAAACCAGATTGTAGGTGCCTGTCAGAGGCGGCTCTGCCCCTTCCAGGATGGGGTCACATGCTGCGTTTGGGGGTTGCTCCCCTGCTATCACTGCTGTCTCTCCCGAGCTGGTGTCGCCCTGTGTCTAGCCCAATATCTCCAGGGCCAACCTCGTTTTCCCCTGGATGCTTTTCAGTGAGACGTATGACAGTCGGAGGCCACGTCTGCCGCTTCCTGAGATTTGGGACACCACAGTGGGAGTTGTGTCTGTCACATCTAGACCACGGTCTTCTTTCTCTGCACAGGGCCCCAGTGCACCCCCGAATGAGATTTGTGAAGGGGTGCGGTAGGGATAGGCGCGGTTGTTTTTTGGTTTGTTTGTTTAGGGTTTCTATGGGAGTTGGTTTTTTGGTTGGCATGTTTTTCTCATTTTTTACCGCTCTCCGAATCCTGTTTTTCAAAGATCTAAAGTAGAGATTAATAAGATGTTTCCACCGAAAGTCAATGCGGAAATTTTTCAGTTCAACTGGTTTTTTTAATTTGTTTTTTAATCTAATATAACTGAATCAAGCATAATATTTTCTGCTTTGTGAGTCATGTTCTCCTGTCAATGGATTAACTACCTAAGGTAAGCATCTGCCTTAAAGGTGGATGCAGGATAGAGGGACTCTTCCCAGAGAGGTAACTTCAGGAGAGAGTTGATTGATTTCTCATTCTATCTCCTCCCTATCATAGAATCCTAGGGCTGGAAGAGACGTCAGGAGTCATCGAATCCAGCCCCCTGCCCAAGGCAGGACCAACCCCAACTCATTCAACCCAGCCAGGGCTTTGTCAAGCTGGGATTTAAAATCCTCTAGGGATAGAGATTCCAGCATTTTCCTGCCCTCCTAGAGCAACAGCTTTTCCTAATATCCCACCTAGACCTCCCCCACTGCAACTTGAGCCCGCTGCTCCTCGTTCTGCCCCCTGTCCCCACCGAGAACAGCCTCTCTCCATCCTCTTTGGAACCCCCCTTCAGGGAGTTGCACCTAATATGCCATTAGCCTTCTTCGATATGGGCACCCTGTTGACTCATATCCAGCTTCTCAGCTGTAATCCCCAGGTCCTTTTCTGCAGAACTGCTGCTTAGTCCGGTTTTGAACTGGACAATCCAATATTTGAGCTTTCTGTTCAGGAAACAAATTGAGAAAATAGAAATGAGAAGATAACTAGAGGACACCAAATGAAATTAATGGGCAGCAGGTTTAAAACTAATAAAAGAAAGTTCTTCTTCACACAGCGCGTAGTCAACCTGTGGAACTCCTTGCCAGAGGAGGCTGTGAAGGCTAGGACTATAACAGAGTTTAAAGTGAAGCTAGATAATTTCATGGAGGTTAGGTCCATAAAAGGCTATTAGCCAGGGGATAAAATGGTGTCCTTGGCCTCTGTCAGAGGCTGGAGAGAGATGGCAGGAGACAAATCGCTTGATCATTGTCTTCGGTCCACCCTCTCTGGGGCACCTGACAGGATACTGGGCTAGATGGACCTTTGGTCTGACCCAGTATGGCCGTTCTTATGTTCTTATGTTCTAAGATATCCGGTATTTTCTAAATAAGACGGAATGTCGATTGTGATGTAATGTCAAGTGTGTCTGGTATTTTTATTGAAA